AGCAACCAACAAAAATTATGCAGAACGAAAAATGACACTGAAGATGGCACAACGCCGAAACCGGTTTGTCTCCAAACCAAATTTGACAAGGGATGACGGAAATTCGTTCCATAATACATCATACACCCACCCTGTCGGAAACAACAACAACCAAAAAGGAAATATTTTGCTTTATTACCTTTGACCTAATATTTTGGTTGCTACTCCACTTCCGTTTCCATCCCACCTCCGCCTAGTTCCGAACGCTTCCATACAGCAGCTACGAAACATCCGAGACCCGATAACGATTTATCGATTATTATAGTTGTCACTGCTGCTATACTTCAGCTTCCGGGAAAAGACGTTCGTTCCTTTCTTCGTGGACAATCGACCCGGACACATCGCCGTCAAAATTCTAAAATTTTTGTATTGGTTTTCCCACAGTAGCATAACAAGTGGTTCAATATAAACCGAAGTGCCGAATATCGCTCTAAACTATAGTTTAAAGTGCATATTTCTACGTCTATAATCATTGATAAGAATACCTTTATAATCTCAATAGATATATAATGTTTTATTCCACACGTGTTCAAACACTGATTTCCTTAAACCTTTCATGGGGTTACTCCCCAACAATTCAACAACTGCCACCAAGAAGATAGCTGAAAGTCGGCTAGTCATAAAACGCCAGACTGACTGACGACGATTCTGGTGGGAATTCACACTCCAGGGTGTATCATCTACAATCGCTGGAATACTTTTGCATAGGCCCCGATTTCATAGGGACGCGAATGGACTCTCTGTCCACCAAGTGACCAAGTGAGTGGTTGCGTCCTAGCTAACGTGTTTAGTTAGACACCCGTTCCGCTAAACGCGAATTCCAAATAACCTGCGTACCTAGATTTAACCAAATAATAAATTGCTGGTGAAGACCAGTGAGGATAGACTAAGATTCGAAATGAACTAAATGGATTGAATTTAATTATCTAGCTACTCAATTAACATAAAGCCGAATGTTTAAAACCCTATCTAATTAATATTCATACTTGCCTTTTTTTCCTCATACTTACCAAATACAAAGTTACATTTGATCATCACTAAGTTCTCCTTCCCTCATTATTTGGTGGGGAATCCACGTGGTACTGGAAGACAAGCTTACCTCAACAATATTTCTCGTCTTTTGTTTTCTCTTAGACTTTTTTTAGTTTTACCTACTTTTATTTTTCAAAATATGTATTAGCATATTTCATCATGTTTGCGAGGACATGAAAATATTTGGTATTAATTTTATTTTGTTATTAGCTCCCCTTTTGTCTGTATCTTCATTTGACATTTGAGCCATAGTTGCCAACTTGGTGCTTCAAGCACTAGATTTAGTGCTTTTTGAAAATTAAAACGCCAAAAAAAAATCATTTAGTGCCTAGTGCCTTTTTTAGTGCTTTTTTTCTGAACTAAAATTACTC